ACGTAGAATCATGACACAAAGACTCCCATATACCCACCACCAAGTTTATAACAGAACATGACAGTTGTGTTAGAAGTCCCTGGCATGTAGCTGCCCAGCCCCGTCCCCTTACCCGTCGCCTTAGAGGTAACCACTGTGCTGAATTTACAACCAACATCTGTCAAGCTCCATTGATGAGCATTGCGAGGGAGGAGCGGGTAGGGAGAAGTGAGTACCTGTCCCTGGGGATTCAGAAGCTGGAGAAGATGTGGTTCCAAGTCTCCTCACCATCTGGTGGGGAAACAGACATGAGTACAATGGTTGTGGTGTGAGGCAGGATGGAGAAGTGCTTCGCAAGAGGACTAAATGCTGGGAAAGCACAAAAAAGAGACATTATTCCAGCTGCCGTCAGCAGGGGCTGCTCCATGGACAAGGTAGCCTTTCTGCCTTTGAAGGGTGGAGAGGATTTCTACAGATGGAAGGAAAGATCAGATGTCACAGTCAGAAAGGAGGCAGAAGGAGCAAGGTGGTCTGAAGAATCACTGCTCCATCCAGGATGACTAAGGATGCAGGGGGCAGGGGGAAGTAGAAGTTACAGCCAGGATGAAAGTGAAGTTTGAAGGGAATCCTCTGGGAAATGAAAATTCGTGTAGAAACCCAAGCTAGCAGTTATAAATTCGGGTGATGCTGTTTTCCCCACATGGAGATCCGGAGGGGTGCCCTCTGTGCCTCTTCTCTCCGCCTTCTCCTGCCCCACCCTCACTCCCACACCTGCATCAAATCATTGCCAAGTGCCACCAGTTCTCCCCTCACATCCTCTCTCTCTCTCTCTCTATCCCTCTTTCTACCACTCTAATTCCACTGTGTCTGCTCAGTGACTGAGCAACGCTGGCAGCCTCCCTGCCTGGTGCCGGGTTCCCTCCCCCTCCAGTCCACACCTGAACCCCTCTGCATGGAGTGCTGGGGTCCCGGCTGCTGAGCAGGACACAGAGGTCAAGGAGATGAGTGTGGCTCACAGCTGGGAAGGGGAGCCTGCGGTGAGAGCCACAGACTCACGACGACAAAGCTATAAGTCATAGGGAAGGGGCGCGAGGTGGGTCAATGTCAGACGTGGAACCAGTTGAAAACCGGGATGGGCTAAAAGTCAGGCTCAGCTGTGTAGACTGGAAGCCAGGCATCACACTAGGCACCCAGGAGCACAGGGTCGTTTTTATTGGAGCCAGGCGGGCAGGGAGGCGAGCAGAACTGCGGGGCTGAGGGAGACATGCAGGAACAGCAATGCCGAGGCAGTTCCATCAGAGGCCTCCTCTGAAGGCAGGTTCACCCAGCCTCCTCGCACTCCCAGAAGAGAGGCCGCTGGTGTTCTCGGAGGGAGCCCTTTTCTCAGGCACCCCCTCCAAGGATCCTGCACCCTTTGCCCCATCTCCACCCCACAGTGTGAGTCCTGGGAGTAGCACCAGCTTTACAGACCTTGCCTGGAGCCAAATACTAGTCCAGAGATGGCAGGCAAACTGGTGAGCTTCCCTTGGCCTCAGCTTCCTCAGGGGTAATGACACCTGTCTTGAGAGCAATTGTGAGAGGAAATGCGTATACACGGAATGTGCCTGATGCACAGGGAGGCTCAATAAATAGCTCTCCAACCAACAAATATTTATTAAGCGCCTACTGTGAGCTGAGCATTCTACCAGCTGCCAGGGATAGTATGGTGAGCAGAACCAGTCTAGAGAAGGAGACAGACATTAATTAACAACCACAGAAATAATTGTAAATGACCAATATGAAAAGGACTATGAGGGCTGAGAACATGTATACTTGGGAGATTTGACTTCTACTGAGAGAACAGGAAAAGCCATCTTCCAGACCCTGCTCAAAAGTGGCCTTCCCAAGAAGCCCACCAGATTACCCCCCCTTGCAATGGTTCTTTTGGCCTGTGAACTCTCAGCATGAAGCATGGAGCCTGCTAATGACACTTACCTTACCATTGCATCTAGTATTATAACTAGCGGCATTCATATCCTGTCTCCTCCACCACACTGTAAGCTTGCTGTGGGCAGACAGCCCATAACACTACCTCTTTCAGTGCTTCACAGTTTCTGTTAAAGTCTAGTATTTTAGTAAAGAAGTGAAATTAGCTTCTAAAAGCTGCCACAATGTAACAGAACTTGAAGCTTAATTCATGCCTTTTGTAAGCCAAGTTGCCATTGATTTCCAAGTCATTTGTCAGATCATAATAGGTGGTATGCAAGGAAACAATAATTTGACTTCTCAGAAGCTGTATAAGGTCCATACCTCAAAGAGTGTGACATCCCTCAATCCCTGCTGAATTATCCTAGACCTGAGCCTGACTCACCTATTAATCAGGGATATACAAATAAGAAAAAGTATGACTAGTAGAATTCCATTTGCCAAATCCTCAATCCCTAAATTTTACAATTAGAATCTCAGTTTGTGATCTAACAACACCAAAAAACTGGAGTACCAAAAAAACCTGTGTGCTGAAACATTCATTCCTGTTAGGTTGCTTAATGTTAAGTCTGACCCTGTAGTTAAACTCTGAAAATCTACTCAGATAAGCAATTTTAACCATATAATGACATCAGGAGATTAAGTTCCACCTTAACTCTCAGAAGGTGTTTTCTTTTCCTTTTTAAAATTGAAGTATAGTTGGTTTACAATGTTGTGTTAATTTCTGCTGTACCGCAAAGTGATTCAGTTATACATATATATTCTTTTTCATATTCTTTTCCATTATGGTTTATCTCAGGATGTTGAATATAGTTCCCTGTGCTATCCAGTAGGACCTTGTTGTTTATCCATTCTGTATATAATAGCTTACATCTGCTAACCCCAGCTTCCCACTCCATCCCTCCCCCACCCACTCCCCTTTGGCAACCACAAGTCTATTCTCTATGTCTGTGAGTCTGTTTCTATTTCGTAGATAGATTCATTTGTGTCATATGTTGGATTCCACATACAAGTGATATCATATGGTATTTGTCTCTCTGTCTGACTTACTTCGCTTAATATGATAATCTCTAGGTCGATCCATGTTGCTGTAAATGGCATTATTTCATTCTTTCTTAAGGCTGAGTAGTATTCCATTGTATATATACAGCACATCTTCTTTATCCATTCGTCTGCTGATGGACATTTAGGTTGTTTCCATGTCTTGGCTATTGTGAATAGTGCTGCTATGAACATAGTAGTACATGTATCTTTTTTTTTCTTTTTCTTTTTTTTAATTATAGTTGCTTTACAATGTTGTGTTGGTTTCTGCTGTACAACAAAGTGAACTAGCTATATGTATACATATATGCCCTTCCCCTTGAGCCTCCCTCCCAGCCCCCTGTCCCACCCCTCTAGGTTATCACAGGTGTGCATGTATCTTTTTTAATTATAGTTTTGCCTGGATATATGCCCAGGAGTGGGATCACTGGGTGATATGGTAGTTCTATTTTTAGTTTTTTGAGGACCCTCCATAATGTTTTCCATAGTGGCTGCACCAACTTACTTTCCCACCAACAGTGTAGGAGGGTTCCCTTTTCTCTACACCCTCCCCAGCATTTATTATTTGTAGAATTTTTAGTGATGGCCATTCTGATCAGTGTGAGGTGATATCTCATTGTACTTTTGATTTGCATTTCTCTAATACAGTAAGTCCCCTACATACGAACAAGGTCTCTTCCAAGAGTGTATTCATAAGTCCAATTTGTTCGTAAGTCCAACAAAGTTAGCCTAAGTACCCAACTAACACAATCAGCTATATACCACTGCTTTTACGCTTGCTTCTGGACATCCTGGGCTTGAAATAATGATACTGTACTATTGTACTCTATACAGTACTGTACAATAAAGTACACAAAAGCACAACCACTTGTAGAGGATGCACACACGTGACAAGGTATGCCAGACACATGAATTTACATGATTGGACATGCGAACACATGTTCGCATCTCTGAAAGTTCACAACTTGAAGGTTCATATGTAGGGGACATACTGTAATTAGCACTGTTGAGCATCTTTTCATGTGCCTGTTGGCCATCTGTATGTCTTCTTTGGAGAAATGTCTGTTTAGGTCTTCTGCTCATTTTTTGATTGGGTTGTTTGTTTTTCTGTTGTTGAGTTGTATGAGCTTGTATATTTTGGAAATTAGGCCTTGTTCGTCTCATCATTTGCAAATATTTTCTCCCATTCCATAGGTTGTTTTTTCATTTTGTTTATGGTTTCTTTTACTGTACAAAAGCTTGTAAGTTTCATTAGATCCCATTTCTTTATTTTTGTTTTTATTTCTATTGCCTTGGGAGACTGACCTAAGAAAACACTGGTAAAATTTATGTCAGAGAATGTTTTGCCTATGTTCTCTTCTAGGAATTTTATGGCGTCATGTCTTACGTTTAAGTCTTTTAGCCATTTTGTGTTTATTTTTGTGCATAGTGTGAGAGTGTATTCTAACTTCATTGATTTACATGCAGCTATCCAACTTTCCCAGCACCACTTGCTGAAGAGACTGTCCTTTTCCCATTGTGTATTCTTACCTCCTTTGTCAAATATTATTGAACATAGGTGTGTGGGTTTACTTCTGAGCTCTCTATTCTGTCCCATTGATCCGTATGTCTGTTTTTGTGCCAATACCACACTGTTTTGATTACTGTAGCTTTGTAGTATTGTCTGAAGTATGAGAGGGTTATGCCTCCTGCTTTGGTTTTTTTTTTTTTCCCCCTCAAGATTGCTTTGGCAATTTGGGGTCTTTTATTGTTCCTTATAAATTTTAGGATTATTTGTTCTAGTTCTGTGAAAACTGTCATGGGTATTTGATAGGGATCACATTAAATCTGTAGATTGCTTTGGGTAGTAAGGTCATTTTAACAATATTAATCCTTTGGAAAGTATTTTTCAGTGTTAAGAACTCTCCTCTTTTTTATATATGATTTTACTGTAATTAATAACTATAATTATTCTTGACATCAATGATAGCTATGAAAAGATGAAAGCCAAAAGAAACAGAGGAAACATGTTGTTATTAGATTTAAACATTCAAGTATTTCACTTAAATTCATTTTATTTTGGTATTTTGAATTTTTTTTAAACATCCCAGTGCCAAAAGGAGGAAAGCTTTACAGATGCAAACAAATGTATAAACAAACAACCCAGGTCCTCTTAAGCAATTTGCCAAACAGAAACAATCCATCTATATAAGAAAACACATCAAATCAGGATCTGCAATGTGGGCCAGTGAGAGAAAGGATTTGCATCCTCAACCCTGTTTTTGGTTCCTCAAAATCAAAATCTTGGGACTAGTGTAAGCTGTATAATGATGGATAAACAAAGAGAGTAAGTGTTCTCTTGCTTTTTCCATGGGTTTCATTAGCTTGTTTTCCATGACTCATAATGCCTTCCTGAAAAAAACTCTTGTGCCTTTGATCTCCTGGGTCAAATGAGTGCTGTTGAGTTAGTTTCCATCAACCAGTCAGCACTCCTACTGGTTCCTATTGTGCATCCTCAGCCAGACCAACTATTACCAGTTAACTCATTCCCAGAATAGAATTATGAGTACTCTTCAGAAGGGTTCAGTCAAAATCGCCCAGAGGAATTCATAAGGATAGTCTGAAGATTTTAAAAAAGGCAAATATTATTCACACAAAAATGTTGTTGACCTGAAAATAATTAGTGGAAAAAAATTTTAAACTGTTTATTAAAACTATGTCTTATAAGAACACGAAAAACTTCCTAAAGTCACTGATTAAGGGCTCTTTCCAATCCTTTGTTATGCCATGGACCCTCCTTTATATCCCCAAGTAGACAGTGTGGTTAGTGGTAATAAACTTCTCAGCCTAGGTCCCAGGAAACCTAGGGTCTCCTCCAGCCTCTGCCACTATATTTTTTTGGCTTATTTTCCACTTATATAAAATAAAAGTGAAAGTGTTCACGCAAGTTTCTTTTGGTTACAGGAGTCCATGATTCTAGTAGAGAGACACAGAAGTTGAGATTTATCCATTCACTCAATACTTATGTCCACTAAATATTTATTGGACATCTATTAAATGCTAGGCAACATGTCCTCTGAATGAGAGGTCTCCCCGTAACGCTCCCCAAGTCCCTTGTGGGTGCCTCCATCATGGTACTTGACACTCAGTTGGAATTAGGGATTCCCTAATCTGATTCCTCCACTGATGGACTGCATGTTATTTTGCCAATGAGTAGCAGAATTCTTGGGACACAGTAGGTGCTCCTAAAGCATTTGGTAAAAGGACAGAGGAGAGCTCTTCACGTGCAAGCTTGAGCATCCCAGAATGAGGACCAGAATGAGAAATATCAAGCATAATAGCCAGTAACATTTCATTAAAACAATTATATGATGACATTATATTCTCCCTAGGAATTTCTGAGCCAACAGCAGACCCTGATTGCACTAAAGACCCAAGCACAAAGACCTGCCTCTCTCTAGTCCTGAAGACAAAGTGTTCCTTGGCACTTAGTTTCCAGTTTGATGCTGGATCCCTTTGGTTGTCTCTCCAGATCTGCCCTCCCCTTTTGTCCACTTTGCTTGGTGCTCTGGGAGGCCAATCTATATGAACTGTCTCAATCAGCGCCAGTGTCCTCTGGCTCTGGTTGGGTTTGGCCAATGGGGAGTACTGGACATTGGGAAAAAAGGAGAACAGCCAAGTTGAGATATTCATTCTCTCTCCTCAGGGCAACCACAGGCTGTTGTGTCCATGACTAAAAGCCACAGCTCCTATCAGGCAGCCCTCCCCACATATTCCTTCTGTGTGTGTATGTGTGTGCTTCTGTCTTTGTCTCTCTGAGTTCCTTGTCCCTTTAGTCTTAGGGACAGTAGCAGTGCCCCCAGTTACTAGTCCTAGGATGCTACACTGTCCTTTTTTGGTTTTCCCACATCCTGGCTTAATAGGCCTTTATGAAACTCTCCCCAAATTATTCAATATGAGTATACTATCAGTTTCCTGCCAGGACCCAAATATTATAAACAGTAAATGATCTAGTCTATTACCACCAATCACAATAAAAGAATACTAAGAAATGCTAGTTTCCCTTCTTGTCCCTGTTATAATTTTTATACCCCCTGCAGTGGTTATCAGTAGTGCCTTTAACAAAATAGCTATTTAATAAATATTTGTTGAATGAAAGAAAAAGATTTCTAAGACACTTCTGATCACAGTTTTGTATTCAAATACATGGAAATCAATGTGCATTAATCTAGGTTATCAAGTATTAAATTTAGAGAAGTTTTTATTTCAGTAGTTGAAAGTCAGTGAGTAGTTCTGCTTTACAAATTTACATTCTCTCTTTTCTCATGTTCCAAGTGAAACAATGAGTAGCCTACTGGATTTATGACTCAACCCAGGAAACAGTACCAAGAGATGAGCAGACATCTCAGGGCACATGTTGTTCAACAAACTAAGAGATTAGTTTACTGGTCCTTCCTAGACCTTGGAGGAAACAGTGATTTTATTTCATGTCATCTAATTCATACGAACTGATTTTGCAAGTTCATCACTTTCTATCTCCTACACCCGGATAGAAATGCAGTTTGGGGAAGACTATACCTCCTTGGATCTATTCACGTTTATAATGAATAGTCAAATCGTCAATAAAGCTGAAGCATCACTCACCGTGTATGTTGAACTTGCTGATGCTCCATGGAAGTAACTTCTATTTCTGGTATTGGAGGAAGCACGTCCTTGACATGAGCCATAGGCAGCCTCTGCGTGGTCTCTGCTGTTTAAGAAGGAGAGCTGTTCTAGTCTGTATTTAGTCAAGAGCAATGCGAAAGTAGACACAGTGTATTCCAATGTAGTAAGAGAACCATGCCTTCCACCTAGACAGGACTTTGGCAGTTTCCACGACTTACTAAATTTCTTGCCTGCACCTCTGACAGTCTTTTTTTTTTTTCATTAGTCACCAATTTTATACACATCAGTGTATACATGTCAATCCCAATCGCCCAGTTCATCACACCACCATCCCCACCCCCCAGCGGCTTTCCCGCCTTGGTGTCCATACGTTTGTTCTCTACATCTGTGTCTCATTTCTGCCCAGCAAACTGGTTCATCTGTACCATTTTTCTAGGTTCCACATACATGCATTAATATACGATATTTGTTATTCTCTTTCTGGCTTACTTCACTCTGTATGACAGTCTCTAGATTCATCCATGTCTCAACAAATGACCCAATTTCGTTCCTTTTTATGGCTGAGTAATATTCCATTGTATATATGTACCACATCTTCTTTATTGATTCATCTTTCGATGGGCATTTAGGTTGCCTCCATGACCTGGCTATTGTAAATAGTGCTGCAATGAACCTTGGGGTGCATGTGTCTTTTTGAATTATGGTTTTCTCTGGGTATATGCCCAGCAGTGGGATTGCTGGATCATATGGCAATTCTATTTTTAGTTTTTTAAGGAACCTCCATACTGTTCTCCATAGTGGCTGTATCAATTTACATTCCCACCAACAGTGCGAGAAGGTTCCCTTTTCTCCACACCCTCTCCAGCATTTGTTGTTTGTAGATTTTCTGATGATGCCCATTCTAACTGGTGTGAGGTGATACCTCATTGTAGGTTTTTTGTTGTTGTTGTTTTTTGGTTTTTGGTTTTTTTGCTGTACGTGGGCCTCTCACTGTTGTGGCCTCTCCCGTTGTGGAGCACAGGCTCCGGACGCGCAGGCTCAGCGGCCATGGCTCACAGGCCCAGACGCTCCGCCACATGTGGGATCTTCCCGGACCAGGGCGTGAACCCGTGTCCCCTGCATCAGCAGGCTGACTCTCAACCACTGTGCCACCAGGGAAGCCCCCTCATTGTAGTTTTGATTTGCATTTCTCTAATAATTAGTGATGTTGAGCAGCTTTTCATGTGCTTCTTGGCCATCTGTATGCCTTCTTTGGAAAAATGTCTATTTAGGTCTTCTGCCCATTTTTGGATTGGGTTGTTCGTTTCTTTAATATTGAGCTGCATGAGCTGTTTATATATTTTGGAGATTAATCGTTTGTCTGTTCATTCGTTTGCAAATATTTTCTCCCATTCTGAGGGTTGTCCTTTCATCTTGTTTACGGTTTCCTTTGTGTGCAAAAGCTTTTAAGTTTGATGAGGTCCCATTTGTTTATTTTTGTTCTTATTTCCATTACTCTAGGAGGTGGATCAAAAAAGATCTTGCTGTGATTTATGTCAGAAAGTGTTCTTCCTATGTTTTCCTCTAAGAGTTTTATAGTGTCTGGTCTTACATTTAGGTCTCGGATCCCTTTTCAGTTCATTTTTGTGTATGGTGTTAGGGAGTGTTCTAATTTCATTTTTTTACATGTAGCTGTCCAGTTTTCCCAGCACCACTTATTGAAGAGACTGTCTTTTCTCCATTGTATATCCTTGCCTCCTTTGTCATAGATTAGTTGACCATAGGTGCATGGGTTTATCTCTGGGCTTTCTATCTTGTTCCATTGATCTATGTTTCTGTTTTTGTGCCAGTACCATACTGTCTTGATTACTGTAGCTTTGCAGTAGTCTGAAGTCAGGGAGTCTGATTCCTCCAGCTCCATTTTTTTCCCTCAAGACTGCTTTGCTATTCGGGGTCGTTTGTGTCTCCATACAGATTTTAAGATTTTTTGTTCTAGTTCTGTAAAAACTGCCGTTGGTAATTTGATAGGGATTGGATTGAATCTGTAGATTGCTTTGGGTAGTATAGTTATTTTCACAATATTGATTCTTCCAATCCAAAAACATGGTATATCTCTCCATCTGTTGGTATGCCCTTTGCTTTCTTTTATCAGTGTCTTATAGTTTTCTGCATACAGGTCTTTTGTCTCCCTAGGTAGATTTATTCCTAGGTATTTTATTCTTTTTGTTGCAATGATAAATGGGAGTGTTTCCTTAATTTCTCTTTCATATTTTTCATCATTAGTGTATAGGAATGCAAGAGATTTCTATGCATTAATTTTGTATCCTACAGCTTTACCAAATTCATTGATTAGCTCTAGTAGTTTTCTGGTGGCATTTTTAGGATTCTCTATGTATAGTATCATGTCATCTGCAAACAGTGACAGTTTTACTTCTTCTTTTCCAATTTGTATTCCTTTTATTTCTTTTTCTTCTCTGACTGCCGTGGCTAGGACTTCCAAAACTATGTTGAATAATAGCAGTGAGAGTGGACATCCTTGTTTGTTCCTGATCTTAGAGGAAATGCTTTCAGTTTTTCACCATTGAGAATGATGTTTGCTATGGGTTTGTCATTTGTGGTTTTTATTATGTTGAGGTAAGTTCCCTCTGTGCCACTTTCTGGAGAGTTTTTATCATAAATAGGTGTTGAATTTTGTCAAAAGCTTTTTCTGCATCTATTGAGATGGTCATATGGATTTTGTTCTTCAATTTGTTAATATGGTGTATCACATTGATTGATTTGCATATATTGAAGAATCCTTGCATCCCTGGGATAAATCCCACTTCATCATGGTGTATGATCCTTTTAATGTGTTGTTGGATTCTGTTTGATAGTATTTTGTTGAGGATTTTTGCATCTATGTTCATCAGTGATGTTGGTCTGTAATTTTCTTTTTTTGTAGTATCTTTGTCTGGTTTTGGTATCAGGGTGATAGTGGCCTTGTAGAATGAGTTTGGGAGTGTTCCTTCCTCTGCAGTTTTTGGAAGAGTTTGAGAAGTATGGGTGTTAGCTGTTCTCTAAATGTTTCATAGAATTCACCTGTGAAGCCATCTGGTCCTGGACTTTTGTTTGTTGGAAGATTTTTTATCACAGTTTCAATTTCATCACTTGTGATTGGTCTGTTCATATTTTCTATATTTTCCTGGTTCAGTCTTGGAAGGTTATATCTTTCTAACAATTTGTGCATTTCTTCCACGTTGTCCATTTTATTGGCATAGAGTTGCTTGTAGTAGTCTCTTAGGATGCTTTGTATTTCTGCTGTGTCTGTTGTAGCTTCTCCTTTTTCATTTCTAATTTTATTGATTTGAGTCCTCTCCCTCTTTTTCTGGATGAGTCTGGCTAATGGTTTATCAATTTTGTTTATCTTCTCAAAGAACAAACTTTTAGTTTTATTGATCTTTGCTACTGTTTTCTTTGTTTCTGTTTCATTTATTTCTGCTCTGATCTTTATGATTTCTTTACTTCTAGTAACTTTGGGTTTTGTTTGTTCTTCTTTCTCTAGTTCCTTTAGGTGTAAAGTTAAATTGTTTACTTGAGATTTTTCTTGTTTCTTGAGGTAGGCTTGTGTAGCTATAAACTTCCCTCTTAGAACTGCTTTTGCTGCATCCCATAGGTTTTGGATTGTCGTGTTTTCATTGTCATCTGTCTCTAGGTATTTTTTTATTTCCTCTTTGATTTCTTCAGTGATCTCTTGGTTATTTAGTAACATATTGTTTAGCCTCCATGTGTTTGTGTTTTTTACATTTTTTTCCCTGTAATTCATTTCTAATCTCATAGTGTTGTGGTCAGAAAAGATGCTTGATATGATTTCAATTTTCTTAGATTTACTGAGGCTTGATTTGTGACCCAAGATGTGATCTATCCTGTAGAATGTTCTGTGTGCACTTGAGAAGAAAGTGTAATCTGCTGTTTGGGGATGGAATGTCCTATAAATATCAATTACACCTATCTGGTCTGTTGTGTCATTTACAGCTTCTTTTTCCTTATTTATTTGCATTTTGGATGATCTGTCCATTGGTGTAAGTGAGATGTTAAAGTTCCCCAGTATTATTGTGTTACTGTTGATTTCCTCTTTTATAGCTGTTAGCAGTTGCGTTATGTATTGAGGTGCTTCTGTGTTGGGTGCATATATATTTATAATTGTTATATCTTCTTGGATTGATCCCTTGATCATTATGTAGTGTCCTTCCTTGTCTCTTGTAACATTCTTTATTTTAAAGTCTATTTTATCTGATATGAGTATTGCTACTCCAGCTTTCTTTTGATTTCCATTGGCATGGAATATCTTTTTCCATCCCCTCACTTTCAGTCTGTATGTGTCCCTAGGTCTCGAGTGGGTCTCTTGTAGACAGCATATATATGGGTCTTGTTTTTGTATCCATTCAGCAAGCCTGTGTCTTTTGGTTGGAGCATTTAATCCATTCACTTTTAAGGTAATTATTGATATGTATGTTCCTATGACCATATTCTTAATTGTTTGGGGTTTGTTTTTGTAGGTCATTTTCTTCTCTTGTGTTTCCCACTTAGAGAAGTTCCTTTAGCATTTGTTGTAGAGCTGGTTTGGTGGTGCTGAATTCTCTTAGCTTTTGCTTATCTGTAAAGCTTTTGATTTCTCCATCGAATCTGAATGAGATCCTTGCTGGGTAGAGTAATCTTGGTTGTAGGTTCTTCCCTTTCATCACTTTAAGTATATCATGCCACTCCCTTCTGGCTTGTAGAGTTTCTGCTGAGAAATCAGCTGTTAACCTTATGGGAGTTCCCTTGTATGTTATTTGTCATTTTTCCCTTGCTGCTTTCAATAATTTTTCTTTGTCTTTAATTTTTGCCACTTTGATTACTATGTGTCTCGGCGTGTTTTTTCCTTGGGTTTATCCTGTATGGGACTCGCTTTGCTTCCTGGACTTGGGTGGCTATTTCGTTTCCCATGTTAGGGAAGTTTTCAACTATAATCACTTCAAATATTTCCTCTGGTCCTTTCTCTCTCTCTTCTCCTTCTGGGACCCCTATAATGTGAATGTTGTTATGTTTAATGTTTTCCCAGAGGTCTCTTAGGCTGTCTTCATT